TTTTTTTTTTTTTGCTAAACAGGATGCTGCCTGTTTCATGAATTGTTCAATGAAGCCAATGGGATTGGGATCTTTTAAATTACTTGGTTGCATTTTTATTAACAAATTACATAGTTTTTTTATAAGTGGGCTTGAATAGATCTCTCCTATAAGAATTCCAAATAATAGATGTACATACTCAACCATTTATCAAGGAAATGGAGCTAACTCTCCTCTCCTAAAGTGGGGGCTCAGAGCAGTGTCTTCCTGCACATGGGAAAGAGTAACTTCCTGGTGGGGAAGCCTGACCAGTGCCGCCTCAGCCAGGTGACCACCGTCAACACAGACAGTGACAAGTGTTCCCTTGTTATAAAGTAATGACAAAGCACTTTACCTCCCTGATCTGCTTCCTCAGAACCCATAACCCCAGTCTAATCATGCGGAAAACAAGTAAAACCCAATGTGGGACTTTCTGCAAATGCCTGACCAGTCCTGCTCAACACTGCCAAGGTCATTGACACAAAGCGAGTCTGAGAAACTGTCACAGCCAAGGAGAGCCTAAAGAGACATGATGAACACATGTCATGTAGTGCCCTGCATGGGATCCTGAAGCAACAAAAGGTAGAACAGAGGGAACCTGAATAAAATACGGACTTTAGCTAAAAATAACATATCAATATTTGTTCATTAATTGTTACATTTTGTAGAAAACTAGAAAAAGAGGAGAAATTAGTGGCACCTGGGTGGCTCAGTCAGTTAAGCATCTGCCTTTGGCTCAGGTCATGATCCCAGGGTCCTAGAATCGAGCCCCACGTCGGGCTCTCTCTCCCCCCCTCTCTCTGCCTCCCACCCTGCTTGTGCTCTCTCTCGGGCACGCGCTCTCTCTCTCTCTCTGTCAAATAAATAAATAAAATCTTTAAAAAAAAAAAAAAAGAGTAGACATTAAAGGTCAAATAAGGGAAACCTATTGCATTGGACTGGAAGCCTAGAGGAAATGGGTGATTTCCTAATAAAAATGCCCAATAACAAAATGGACCCTAAAATAAGGAAAAAACAAGCAGACCAATTAGCCGTCCAGGGCTTCTTCCTCCTGCTGGTTCTCCTCTCACTGTTCTGGGGTTTTCCTCTCCCAGGACAGAAAAAGAACAGGGACAGAACTGTTCTGGAGCTGCCCTGACACCTGACCCCACTTACTGTCTTCCTCTCCCCCAGCCATGCCCCGCTCAGTGAGGACACTGTGCACGGGGAGTCTCAGGGATTGTTGATCCTGATGTGTCACCTAGCTCTTTTTGGAGGGCAAGGGACTGGACACACTTACTGAAGTAAAAGAAGTTAATATTTTTTAATGGTAGAAATACATTAATACTTGCAAGAGACAAGAGTGGGCTTGGACCTGGCAGGCCCAGGGGCTCACACTCTCACAATGTGACCTGGGCCCTCTCCAACCCTCCATCCTGCTAAGTGCTCTGGGGTGGCCCCATTCACAGGCACAGTCTCTCTCACTGCAAATGGGGCCTCCCACAACTCCAGGCTGACACCCACTCACCATCCATTCTACTGGGAAGCGTTTCTCTTTCCCTTGGGTTCCATGAAAATTCATGGCTTTAAGTGTCTTTGGCCCAGCTTCAGTCACATTCTCATCCCTGAAGCCATCAGAGCACCCAGAAGATAGAGCAAGGGGTTGGGTAGACTTGGATCATATGCCCGTCTCTGAGGTGGGTGGAAAGTGGGGTCTGCCCTCTGGAACCGATTGGATGGGAGGCAGGTGAGATGGTGTTCCCAAAAGCAAGCTGAGGTGCTAGACTCGGACGTGAGAAGAGATGCCGGGCTGGGAAAGCAGCAGATTCCGCATCACTGGTGACTGACTGCACGGCTTTGGAATCTGAAGCCCAAGGAAGGAAGGGGTCACTTAGGGTCACAGGCTGCAGCCGCCCATCCAGTGCTCTTGCTGTTTTCCCATGACGGCGAGGCGCTCTTCCACTTACTGAAAAAGCAACTTTGCCGTTGGTAGGAAACTCAAGGCTCCTGCCTTGGATATTGGGTCCTCGCATCTCAGAGACTGGAAGGCACACAGACCTCACTCGTGTCCCTGGGAGGATGGAGCCCCAGAGTCACACCTGCCCCCCCACATTAATTGCTCCTTCCCAAAGAACAAACTGGCTCATTCTCCAGTCTCTTCTCTCTCCTTTACAAAGAGCAGAGACCAAATGTGAGGATGATAAGGAAATTATCCCTCGGTGAAACAGTGGGAGGCTCAAGTCAAGGATTATTCCATACCACGAATCCAGTGGCAGACTTTCTGGAGGCCACAGTCCCTGAATCATGCATGTGACTCTCTGAAACCAGGCAGCCTCACTGAGAAACTGCCTGCTGGGAGACACAGTTACTCCCATAACCTTAATTCTTAACAAATACGTACGTCAAAGGTTTACATCACAATCAGGAGGCCAAAGGACTGCAGGGCCAGTCTGCTGTATGGCTGTATGGCTATTGTGGACAGGGCCACATCCAACATTTGGAGGGTTAAGAGACTGTGAAGGAGGAGACACTTGTCTCAACCACACAGACCTTGGGAATGGAAACATCCTGTGGGGCTGTCTACACTGCCCATGGACCTGTTGTACTGCCAGGAGCACAGTCAGCTCAGTAATTGCCATGGGGGTTGTCAAGACCCTGCCTGGCCTGAGCTGGAGGGCCACAGATGCCTCCCTGGATGGTCAGAGGCCAAGGGCTATCCTGTCTACTGACTGTTTCCTGCTGATCACTCAGATGGGACGAAGGATCTAGCCAGCACCGGGGGGGCCCAACAGTCCGCAAGAAGGCTGCACATGGGGGCGGGCAGGCCACGGCAGTCAGTCCTATATAAATCCGTTTGTGTCTACTGAGTGCCCTCGTGGGGTGGGGCCGTGCTGGAACTTGCGGCTGCCCAGGCACAGTGGGGCCAGCAGCACCCTTTCCAGGTGGGAGGGCGGAAGTACCCTGTATAACCTCTGAGGCCCTCTATAACCCTTGACAGGGGTTGAGTTGGATCTCAAACAGTCAGTGATCAGGTGGACATTTCACTTTTCTTCTGTTAGAGCCCAGGAGTGAAGGGCCAAAAACCAATGCTCCAGCTCACCTCTGACTCGTGTGTGACCCTGGGTGAGTCCTGTCTATCCTGGAGGCCCGGGGAGATGGAGGAGGGGGAAGAAAGCCAATTATGCTTAAACCTAACCCAGACTGTGGCCCCAATCCAGACCCTGGCCCTGACCCCAACCCATGACCCTCACCCCAACCCCACCCAGAGTCTCAGGCTGATCCACACTTGCATCATGAACAGGCCCAAATCCGTCTTAGAGGGTTATTTTCTCCAGAGAGCTGCTCAGCTGTGCACTCCTGCCCACATGCCCATGGAGGGGGCCCTGCCTCCTGAGGACGCACAGGTTGCTGGCTCCCACACCTCTTGCATACATCACCCAGCGGCATGGTGGGGTTTGTTTGATTTTTTGCTAAGTTTTATTTTAATCCAAGGACTTTGATTCATACAAAATGTCATTGTAGAAACAATAGCAGAATCCAAAGTCTGGGTGATCAATATTACTCAGGCAGCAAACTCGTCAATCACAGGATTGTTTTAAAGCAGGTCCCAGTTGTGTTGCATGGTTGGGACTTCTTTTTGGGTTTTTTTTTTTTAACACTGTTCTTAAATATAAAGTTTTGCAACAAACCTTTGATTTATATCAAATATAATTAAAAATTAACAAATGAGTACATTGTATCAAAAAGTACGAAGATATACATTTCATGCACATACTTGTATATATGTATATATGTATATATTTTACATGCACACATAACTTATTCAAACTACAGCCACTGCTTGACTGGTCCAGATGCAGACAACTGGTTAATGCATTTCAAATTTGGCAACTCACTATGAGATCTCAGTGGAAACATATGATAGCTGAGAAGAGACGATACAGAAACAAAACCCAAAGTCAGGAAAACAAGACACAGTATCTCTTCCCCCACTCCCTGTAGTTTTCACCAATTCCAGTGTCTAGAAGAATCCAGACAGACTGGTGAGGCTGTGTGGGGCTAGAACAGTGATTCTCCACCCAACATGGCCTGGGAAGCAGCTGTGGTTCTGCACAGAATGGATACATTCAAAATAACATGGGCCAGAGATGAAACATCAGTATCAAAATACACATCCTTCTGCTTTGCAACAGGAACACAGCTATCTCATGCAGAGTCTGAGATACCATTCCAGTTATTATTTCCTATTGCAGTAAAATACTCTGTAATCTTAAAGTTTCAGAGTGTTGTGCCTTCCAGTAAGGAAATTCTATAAAATGGTTTGGTCACAATCATGCTGAAACCCTAGAACAGGTGGTGGTCTTACGTGATTTATTTCTATTGAATGTGTGTCTTTTGTTGCATAGCCCTATGGGTTAACGACATCCACTCACTGGGACACATCTCCACACAGAGAAACGCACACACACATCACAGGCCAAGTTTCTTTAAGGTGAGTCATGGGGCAACAGCCAATGGGAACACTCAAATGATCCAGCAAAGAGATCATCTGACATTTCCAAACATGGAGGATGCACCAAAATCTAATCATCTAAATATTCCTTTTGTTCACGAAACAAAGGGTCTCCCAGCATTTTATGCACAGCCTCCTAACTATGGTGTTTCCCTTTTGACAGTGGCCATGAGGTCGGATTTCCCTTTCGCTTCCCGCTCTCCCATGTCTTGTGCCACAGTGCTGGGCTTCAGATGGCTCCTACCTGAGCCTCAGTCGCCAAGCTTCTCCTTGCCCCATAGCTTCCTCCGAGTTTTGACCTCATTTCAGTCGGGGCATCCCAAGTGCCCGCACCCGCAGACACAGGCCCTCCCTCCTGCCCCAATGGGTCCATCTCCACTCCCCCACCTCTCCCTCTTCCCACGACCTCTCCCTCTCTCTGGCCTTATCTGAAAAGAAACTTTCACGACAACAGATACCATGCCCCCTTTGGCAGGCATCCCGTCCCTGAGATTCAGATGTAGAACAGACTGAAAACACCCCATACAAGGACACGCTCTACACTGCTCTGTGGCTTCCCAGGAAACCCTTCCACTCGTGGGAGGAAAACAGGGAAATGGTCGCTTCGTTTCCAACTACAACCGTCCCACTGGATGTTATATGAGTGTTCTCCATGGACACCAGCTTTCTACTTGGTTGATATTTGGAACTGGAAACAGTTCCAAGGATTCACCCACGCTTCACACAAGCTTCATGTCACCGCCCCCAGGAGCCTGGCACGAGAGGGCTCGGAAGTCAGGCACTTGGTCGAGAGCAGCAGAAGCCAGGGGAGCTGGGGGGCCACCCAGGCTGGACGCAAGAGCGTCTCCTCACACAAGCCGCACACACACACACACACACACACACACACACACACACACACACCAAAGAGCTGAGAGCTTCCTACAGGTTGGATTTTTTTTAAGTTCTGTTACTATTTCCTTCCCCATTTTTCTGTTTTGCTCTTCTTTCTAGATCAAGTATATGGAATTGACAAAAGAGGGAAGGGTGTTTCGATTAAAAACCAAAACCAACAGCAAGAGTGTTTTCCAGATTTGGTCCCTGTCAAGGTTGACAGCATCTGGGAGAGGACAGAGAGTGTGTGAGTGTATTTCTGGTGTCCATCTGCTGTTTCAGGTACAAAGAGCCACGCTGGATGTGTTTGTGTTTGTGGGCGCCGACAAGAATGCAAGGAGCCACAGGCCGGGCTCCCAAGGCTACTACTGTTGACCATCAACTCTATCTTGTCTGGCCAGGCGTTTAAACATGCCAGGCTCCGTACCACACACTTGGATAAAGGATGGCCTCTACCAGATCCAGACCTCCTAAAAGTGGCCCCGGGCACACACTCCAGACGCTGGGAGCCATCACACAGGGTTCAGACTGACAGGTCCCACTCAGCACAGGCAGCAACTTCCCGTGTAGGGTCTGTGGTATGAGACCCAGGCAGGCAGCATACAAGGGGACAGAGAGAGCCACGTCCCTCTCCGGCAGGGCTTTAGGAATTGGTCCAGCGTGAAAGAGGAGGCGGGTGGGGGGGAGCAGCGGGGCCTCCCCCCAGAGGGCCCCCAAGGCGGGGCCCCTCCTCCCAGGGGCTGCTGCCCCTGCCTCGGTGCCCCGGAGCGTCCCTGGGAGCCCAGCGTGGATGATAGAACTCATCGACTGGAACGCGCCCGCTGAGCAGGTGCGTGGCGGAGGCAGCGCGGCTAGCACCAGTGGTCTTGGTCGGGGTGGTGGTAGCTATGCCGAACGCGGCCGCCCGAGCTGAGTCCCAGAGTGCAGTGGTAGCCGTTGGGCACGCGGCGGAGGGGGTGTGACTGGGAGGTCAGAGAGGACACGTAGGAAGTCCGGGAGGAGCGGCCTGAGTTGGTGGCCACAGCCTCCTCGAAGGTAAGCGTGTCCTCGGGCTGGGTGCGGGCAGTGTCCTCACTGTCCAGACGCTGCCCCAGGTAAGGGTCAGAGCCGATCCTAGAGCCGGCGGCCAGAGGCTGGCTGAGGGGGTCTCTCTGGAGCAGAGCGTTGTGTTCGGAAAGGCCCCGGCTAAGCCGGCCCGGGGAAAAGGTGGGGAGGCTGGTCTGCGCCCCAGCAAAGTGGACAGGCGAGGAGTTGGCCGTCTTGTAGGTGACACTGGGACGGGGGGTCAGCGGAGTCTGGGGGAGCTGCCTCCGCCCACCACGGCCAGGAGTGCTAGCACCGGATGTTGACAACAAGGGGCTCCCGTTCACGGAACCACCACCCTACAAGAAAATGGAGCAGAGCAAAAAAAAAAAAAAAAATCAAAGTACCAGACCAGAGGCCAATGCAGGTGAGAACCATGGAGGTGGGGGGTGAGGCATGGAGAGAGGCAGGCGCCCTGGGAGGGGACCAGTAGGGTGTGTGGTGGGGGGGGGGGGAGAGCCACTGGTGCCGGTCGGCCTGGGGAGGTGGATGGGGAACAGTGGGTAACAAAGGGACAGGCACAGCTCAGGGAGAAGAGAGACCAGAGGCCAGTCCAGGGCAGTTGGGAGGGGAGGATCGGGCTGGTGGGGGAGGAATGGGGCGAGGAAGCGGGGAGCGCAGACTCGGGCCTGGGAACCAGGACATGAAGGAGGATTCGGAGCATGGTGGAGGGGGGGCTTGTAAGGAGGGGCAGTGGGGGGGGTCCTGTCTTACCGGTCTCGGGGGTCCTGGCTCCTGCCCAGCTGTTGGTGACGTGGGGTGGCTGCTGAGGGAGGGTTTGGGCTGCGAGGGCTCCCGGCCCCCAAAGCGGTCACAGGAGTAGAAACGCTGCTTCTCCGAGGAAGAGGAAGAGGGCTGCCTCCGCTCTTGGGACCGGCCCCGCTCCTGCCTGCGCTCTCTCCGGCAGCCTGTGGGCCCCTCTCCCGGGGGTGGGCCTGGCCCTGCAACACTGCTGGGTGCTGGCCAGGAAGAGGAGAAGTCAGCACAGCGAGCCAGGTGGCGAGACAGACCCCCAGCCCAGACCCCGTCCCCAGGGCCAGCAGGGGGACCCAGGGGGAGAGCTGAGGTGCATGGGTGATCCTGCCTGGTCCCCAGACCTGGGACTCACCGCCCCCTACTCAGGGCCATTTGGATGGTCGAGGCACAGAAAGGAATGCCTCAGGCCCTGGCCATTTGAGGGACCCCGCACGCACCGCCATCTGTGTCTGCGGACAGGCTGGGCCCCTTCTCCAAGAACTTCTGCTTCCTGTCCCTGCGGCGATGGCAGCGGTGGTGGTGATGGGGCGCAGCCTGGCTGGCCGGGGCGCGGTCCAGGGCAGCGCTGCAGAGATGAGCCATGTGGGGACGCTGGGGCGCCAGTGTGGAGATGGAGCGCTTCATGGGGCTGGCGCTGGGGGCCGGCTGCAGGTGGGATGTGGGTTGGCACACAGTCTGAGAGAGGGGCCTGGGGCAGGCTCCAGGGCGGCACTGAAGGCCTGGGGTTCAGGAACCACCAGGCCCCTCCCTCTCCCCGGAAAGCTCTTCCCCACCCAGGCCCACCCTTTCTTCCAGAGCACGCTGCACAAGGTGCTGTCCATCTCTGCCAGCAGGGCCCAGAGAGCTGTTGGCTTCAGTGTCCCTGGGGGACAGGGAGGATGCCAGGAAGAGGGAGGCTGCGGGCCTGGCTGGGAGAACCCTGAGGGGTGGCTGAGTGTGATGGCTCTGCTGGGCCAGGGCCATGGGGCTCCTGCCCTGGGCTGAAATCGGGACCTGCGGAAATGGGCCCTCCAAGAGGAGCTGACCCACAGCCTCCACTCGGCATCCTCCAGCTGGCCACCCAGCGGGCCAGGGTCAGGAAGGGGAAGAGGGCAAGAGCCACCACCAATGGGAAGCAGAGACAAGTTTAGAGAATCAAGTCATTTTGAATGTGCAGAACCAGGAACCACAAAAGGAGGCAGGGACAGGGCTAGCCCCAGGCAAGCACTGAAGGTCCCAGGCTGCAGGACACGCCCCTCTAAAGCCCCTCACCATCCCAGGAAGTGAAAGCAGGGCCCCCTGACACAGCCTCAGGTCTGCAGGCCCCTCTCTGAGTCCTTGTGAATAGGCCCACAGCCCCCTTGCCCTGGAGCTTCCTGCTGGGTACTCAAAGCATTCCTGAAGGAGCAGGGGATGGAGGTGGTGCCGCCTCCAGCGTCCAGAGAAAGAACAGGGCAGGTCATCGCCAGAGCATCGATGGGGAAAAGGGAGGACCAAGCTGTGAGGCACCGTGTGCATGGCGGAGGGGGGGGGCGGAGGAGGGGGATGCGGGCTGGCATGGGAGAGGTATGTCCTAGAGAGAGGGAAAGTCTGGGTCAGGGACACTGGGCTGGGAGATGGAAGCCCCAGGGCCCAACAGGAGGCTGAGCACAGGTGGGTGGTGGGGATTCTTGGCAGGCCTCAGAGGACTCTGGCTGCACCTCTTGAGACCATCATCCCGGGAGCTCCCAACAGGGCTGACAGTGTCCAGGCTGCAGTGCAGGTAGGGAGCCTTCACGTGGGACACAAGCCCTCCCCAAGCCAGGTCTCCTCATCCCCCACTCCCCCACCCTCCCACGACCCTGACCCTCCCAGACCACCCACCTGAGTCTCTGCAGCCAGGCGGGGCATGGAGGCCGCTCGTCCCTGGCTCTCCAGTCCGGGTTGGGGCTCCCCGTCAGGACCTCTCAGGGCCATGCTCTGCATCTGGACATCCACAGCCTGGGCATATAGCAGCCCGCAGTCACACCAGCCCCCACCCCACTCTCACCTTCTCCCCCATCCTGGGCTCCCCGCCACATTCCTGCCATCTCCCACCATCCCGGGCTCACCCCAATCCTTATCTCATCCCCCATCCCCAGCCTGACTCCCCAGCCCTGGGAGCCCTCACCGGTTTTCCTGGCGCCACCACTGGGATCTCTGTAGAGTGGCCACGCTCCAAGGGTGTCCTTGCCTCATAGGGTACCTCCTGGGTCCTCTGAGTACCCCAGGAAACAGACTCCTTGATGCCACTCTCCTGGGTTTGTCTGTAGAGAAGAGAGGATCGTGCTGTTGGCTCAGAGGTCTGTGGGCCATGGAATGCCCAGCAAGGACCTGGCTGCAACCTGCCAGGAACCTACACTGGCCCCTTCTACTCTGGGTTGGAAGCAGCCCAGATGCATGAGGCCCTTCAGGTATCAAGTGGCCACACAGCCAAGGGATGCGGACCCAGCACCAGGGCTCAGAGCAGATGGGCAGAGAGGGCCCCCGGACACGAGTCCGAGGGAGGTCTGGGCCCACCGCTTCCTGGTCTAGGGACATCCAGCAGGTTCTCGGCCCTAGACAGGGCCTCCCATGTGTAGTGGGAGCAGGGATGGTTCTTGGCAAGGACGAGGCCACATGTGTACAGTCTGCATGATGCACAGTATGGACATCCTGTCTACGCTGATGCACAGCAAGCCCTGACCACTAAGTTAGGGGCAGTTTAGTACTCAGAAAAACCTACCTGATTAACAGTCCAAGACCCACAGCCAGGCTTCAAAAAACACCGTCCAAACACGTACAGATGAGGAGGAAATCAGGAGCCCTAAACACGCATGCTGTGCCCAGGCTGGTATCAGGCCCCACACCTTAGCCCTCGCTGGATGAGGCAGAGCACAGGCCCCCCTCCTTGGGCTCAGCCAATGATTTCCTCTAGCCAATAGGGTGTTAGCAGACCTGGGACCCCGCTGGCCCTGAGGGGGGTGGCTGAGGGGAGCCTGCTGCTACCACCCCCCAGCGACACACAGTGCAAGACAGGTGACTGTTAGGTCACAACACTTGGTTTTGGGTGGTTCATTACCAAGAATTATTGTGGCAAGAGTTAGGGGTTAGGTAACAAGGACGTTACCAATTTGTCTACAAAATACAGTTGCTTCAGAAATCACTCCTGGAGTGGAGATCTGAGAGGAAAAATGTCTTAGAGGAGTTACAAAGACTAGACACACACAGGCTGTCAACAGAATGGGGTCAAAACAAATCATTTCTCAATGGGCAGTGAGGAAGCAGAGGCAGAGGCCCCTCACCGGAAAGGGAAATGGGCACGCACAACGGGAGGCGACAGTGGGGACCACCGACTGTCTAAATCCACTGACCTCAGTGCCGTCAGAGGCACCCGTGTGACGTTTCGGGAATTAGCTTTGGAGTCCGCCATGGACCGCTCCAGCAGCTGGCCTGGACTAGCTTTCAGGCAGCATCCGCGGGGAACCATTTGGGAGGAGGTGGGCACAGGGTGGACAGAGAGGCCAGTCTCCCAAAGTGCTGATGGGACCTGAGGGCTCCCTGTCCTGCAGCACGGCCTACAGGGAGCCCTTCTGGGAGGGGAAGAAACCGGGAGTCCTGCCTCCTCCGTGCCCCTCGCACCCTGGCCAGGTACTCACACGGCCCCGCCGTTGCTGAGGGACGCAGAGCTCTTCTGCCGAAGGAAAACCCGGGCTCCTCGGAGCACAGCCGGCTGTGTCTGCTCCAGCGTGGCCTTCAGAGGGTGGAACAGGGACACAGGGCCCATCTGTAGAAGGGACGCAGAGAAGAGGAAGAGCTCTAAGGGCAGAGACAGGTGCGCCAGACCCCACAGCATGGGTTGGTGCTTCTTCTGCCCTGACCCAGCCCTACATAGGAGGTAGGCGGGGGCTTACTCCCAACCTGGCCTGTGAGTGACATCAGGAAAGTCATTTCACTTCTTGGAGCCTCAGTTTCCCTACCTACAAAATCTGGGGACCTCATCCAATTACAAATGGTAAAAAGATTTCATCTCATCATCAACTTGGATTGACGGGTAGAGGCTGCATGAGCCCCAGATTGAGCAGAATTCTGAGGACATTTCAGGGCTCGGGGGGGGCACTGATGGGTGTCTGCAACAGACACGGGAACAGGGGATGTGGTGTGGGCATCAGATACTTCCCATCCCAAGAAGGGTGAATGTCCCTGTAAGCTCCAAACACCAGGCAACTTTCTAGACAGAGTCTACGTATGGTCACTGATGGTTTGGCTGCGTGGGAAAGTTGTTATCTTTGAAGGATGACATCAGGAAGATGGGGCCCCAAACCAGCCCAGTCAGAGTCGTGAGTGGAAGAAATCATGGCCCTGGACCCATCAGTTTGAATCTCTCTGGTCCCTGCCCAGGTGCAGGGTAATCAGGTTCTCCTTGCACCTCCCCAAACAACCTCCGCAAATATTCTTCAAGCTTCTTTCTTCTACCACTTAAAAAAGTGGTATCTCCAGGGAACATGTCCTCAGCCCCTTGTCTACTGCTCCTGAACACTAGGCCTCCAAGTCAGGAGGCCCCCAGTACCAGCAGGAGACCAGCCGCTGGAAAGCACACAGGCTGTATGGAGTTTCTGACTTTGGGGCTGGAGAGGTAAGGCTACAGTAAGAACCTCTCATCTTCCTTTTCCCGCTGTGCAATCTCCAGGAAGGGTGTGGGTTTCCTCTGTCGTCAAAACAACTGACGGGTGCCAGAGTCTGAGGTTTACTTCTTGGAAATCCTGGAACTCGGTACCTGGGACAGGCCTCCCGTGGCCTGGTGAATCTGGTCTCTGGTGGTCTTGTTCTGTTTGTAGAAGTCAAATATCATCAGAGCTGCATACACTTTTCCTACGGTCATCTCATCGGCTGGCGGGAGAGAAAACAGAGGATGGAGTGTGGAAGAGGAAGGAGAGGTGGGGTGGGGCAAGGGAACAGCCTCCACCACAAGGACTCCTGGACATGCTCAGGAAAGGGCACAGGGCTTGGCCAAAGTTGCATCTTTGGACACTGAGCACGTGCCCTCTGGAGCTGTACTGACTCTCCACAGGGCCCTCCATCTCCTCCCAATGAAGTGGATGTAGGGTTTAATCTTTAAGCACCTCATCTCTAACTGTAGGAGTCTCCCCACTGTTCTCTGGATTTTTTTAAGTGCACACCCCCACCAGGAACATGGGTGACTGTGGCCAACAGAATAAAGCCCAGGGAATCCCTTCCCACAGTCCCTATGCACCCACTGGTAAGACCGTTCTCCCTGCAGGTGGAAACTAAGTCTAGACTATTGACGAGGTCACCCTGGCCCAGGCCTCCTGGCTCTGCCTCTAGGTAGGACACAGAAGGGGGGTGCACAAGGAGAATTTCTTGCCCTCACTTACGTTTATGGGGTGGCACCAGTAAATCCAGGGTCTTCTGGGGCAGATTGGCCCACACAGAGGAAATCTCCTTCCTCAATTCTGCATCACACTGATGCTGCTTGGTGCCGGCTGGGGCAGGACAAGGGTGTGGAGGGGAAGAGAGATGTTAGGAGCTGTCTCATGGCCCCCCTGGGGGAGCCGGCAGGAAGAGGTGTGGTGTGAGGGGAAATGGGGCAAGGACAGTGCTAGGAGAAAGGGCAGAGCGGGGAGAAGCACGGCCACGGTGGCTGTCAGAGCGTCCCTAATGGGCACGCGCAGAGACAGAGGCCCGTGTGCATGGGCCCTGGGAGTGGAGAAGGGATATGGTGGCGGTCCAGCTGCTCGTCCAACCGTTCAAAACTATCGAGTGAGCACCCTCCCATGCCAGGTACTGTTCTAGGTGATGGACCAAAAGCAAAGGAGCCACCTTTGTGGCACCATGGGGCTTGACTCAACAATAAAGTGGCAGTAAGTTCAAAACCTAGTGTGTTGGGTGCAGAAAAAGCTTAAGTAGGGAGGGATGAGAAGTATCAGGAGGGCTGCAATTTTGGGACAGGGTAGTCGGGAAAGGTCTCATGAGAAGGTGGTGTGTGTGTAAGACCCCGAAGGCAGAAAAGGACCAGGGAGTGCAAAGGCCTTGGTGTGTCACACAACCAGCCAGGAAGGCAAGGCTCACTGAGCAGGGGGTGGGGGTGGGGGTGGGGGTGTTGCAGGGAGCAGATGCTGAGAGAGAAAGCAGCAGAGGGTGTTAAGCAGAGGGATAAAATACTCTGATTTATCTTTTTTTAGCATCAGGTTTACTATGGTATAATGTACATACAATGAAATCCACCCTTTTCAGTTATCCCATTCTATGAACTTTGGTAAATGCATAAAGCCACGCATCCACCCTCACAATCGAGACATGGTACCTGGTACCACTGCCAAAGTCCCTCTGTGCTCCCTTTGTAGCGGACCCCTTGGCCTCCTCTCATCCCGTCCCATCCCATCCCTAGTGTTTTCTGTCTCGGTTTGTTTTGCCTTCTCCAGAATGCCACACGAACAACGTCATCGGGTGTATTGGCTTTTGAGTAGGACTTCTCCACTCAGCATGGTGCATTTGAGATTCATTCCATGTTGTTGAATATATAAGTAGCCTGTTTCTATTGATTGCTGAGTACTATCCTATGGTATGGATAGACCACAATTTGTTTATCCATTCACCAGCTGTGAACATTTGAGTTGCTTACATTTTGAGGTGATTATGAAAGCAAGCTGTAAACATTTGCATATATGTTTTTGTGCAGATGTATGTTTTCTTTTCTTCCCACTTAGGAGTGGGATGGCTGGGCCATACAGTAAGGAACTGCCAAACTAGGATCACAAGAATTCCATATTACGCGTTCTCACCAGGACTTAATATTGTCATTTAAAAAAGTATTTTAGCCATATTAATAACCATGTAGGGTTATCTTATTATGCTTCATTTTGGATTTCTCTGATGATTAATGATATTGAGCATCTTTATAGGTGTTTATTTGCCTTCCCTATATATATTTTGGTGACATGTCTATTCGAATCCTTTGCCCATTTTTATTAGGTTGTTTATTTTCTTATTACTGAGTTGTGAGAGACCTTTATCTATTCTGGAAACTGATCCTATAGCAGATACATGTTTCAAAAATATTTTCACCAATGCTTTAGCTTTGTCTTTTCATTTTCTTAAATGTCTTTTTGAAGAGCAGAAGTTTTTAATGTTGATAAAGTTCAATTTATCAATTTTTCTTTTATGGCTCATGCTTTCTGTGTCTTCAAAAATCTTTGCCAAACTCAAAATTGCCAAAATTTCTCTCCTGTGTTTCCTTCCAGAGGTTTTATAATTTTACATTTTACATTTATGTCTATGATCAGTTTCAAGTTAATTTTTGTAGGAGGTAAAAGGTATGTGCTATGGACTGAATTGTGCGCTGCCCCCATTCACATGTTGAAGCTGGAACCCTCATTATGACTGTATAAGGCCGAGAAGGAGGTAATTAGGTGAAATGAGGTCAGAAGGGTGGGACCCTGACCCAGAGAGTTAGTATCCTTATGAGAAGAGACACCAGAAAACTCATTCACTCTCTGTATGCACTCAAGGAAAGACCATGTGAGCACACAGTGAGAAGGTGACCACCCTACAAACCAGGAGAACAGGCCCAGGAATGAAACTTACCTTCCTGGCACCTTGATTTGGACTTTCAGCCTCCAGACTGTGAGAAATAAATTTCTATGTTTAAGCCACTCAGTTGTGGTACTTTGTTATTGGCAGCCCAAGCAGACTAAGACACTAAATGTCAAGATTTTTCCCTTTTTTGGACATACAGTTTTCTAAATTTTTCCAGTACCATTTGTTGAAAAAATTATCTTTTCTCCATTAATTGCCTTTACAACTTCATCAAAAATCCATTGGCAATGTAAGTATGAGACTCTATTGTGTTCCACTGACCCACGTCTCTGTCCTGTCACCAATACAATATGCCTCAATTGACATGCTTTATAGAAAGTCTTTGATTCAGGTAGAGTAAGTTTTCTTTGTTCTTTTTTCAAAATTGTTTGTTACTCAAGTTCTTTTGCTTTTCTAGATACATTTTAGAATTCGTTTGTACATTTTTACCTAAAAACCTGTTGGATTTTGATCGGGTGAACATTTATTCTATTGATCAATGTGGGAAGAACTGACATCATGACAATATGGAATCTTCCAATGCATGAAGATGATGCAGTGCTTAATTTTTAGATCTTCTTTGCTTCTTTCAATGTTTTGAAATTTGCAACATACAGATCTCACATATATACTTTTTAGAGTTATCCAGCAACAAAGAAGTACTTCATGTTTTTGGTGTGATTTTAATGGAACTTTTTCCCATTTCAATTGTTAATTGCTAATATATAGGAATACATTTGCTTCTTGCACATTGACCTTGTATCCTGTGACCTTGCTCTATACTTGTGGATGGTTTTAGTAACTTTTTTTAATAGCTTAAAACAACATAAATTTATTATCTCAGTTCGGGAGGCCAGAAGCTCAAAATCAAGGTGTCAGCATGACTATGCCTCCTCCAAATGTTCTAGTGAAGAATTCTTCCTTGCCCGTTTCTAGATATTGGTGGCTCCCAGCCATCCTTGGCATTCCTTGGCCTGTAGATGCCTCCATTTTATTCACTTTTTCTTAGAGTCTTTCAGATTTTCTCCATACATAATCATGTCAATTGTGAATACAGGCAGTTTTATTTCTTCCTTTCCAATTGGTATGCCTCCTATTTATTTTTCTTAACTTATTACAATGGCTAGGACCTAAAGTATGATGTTGAACAAGAATGATGACATTAGACATCCTTCCTTTGTTCTTGATCTTAGGGGAAAAGGAGTTAGTCTTTCTTTGTTAAGTGTGTCATTTGCTGAAGGTTTTTCATAGATATCCTTGATCAGATTGAGGGAGCTTCCTTCAGTTTCTACTCTATGCAGAATTTTTAAAATCATGCGTTTTTGTGAAATGCTTTTTCTGCATCAATTGAGATGATCACATACTTTTACTTCTTTGATATATTAAATTATATTGATTGATTTTTTATACTTGAACTCAACTTGCATTCCTGGGATAAACCCTGCTTTTGTCACCAAGCAAACAGATATATATATAGCCAGACTCAGTCTGAGAAAATTGTGTTGAATATTTTTGTGTCTATAGTCATGAGGGATATTGATCTGTCACTTTCTTTTCCTATAATGTCTTTGTCTCATCTTGGTATCAGAGTAATGTAAGCATAATATGGTAAGTTGAGAAATATCCTCTTTTTCTCTATTTTCTGGAAGAGTTTATATAGAGCTGGTATTATTTCCCCCTTAAATGTTTGGTAGACTTCACCTATGGAACTAACTGGGCTGGGGATTTTCCTTGTTGGAAGGCTTTTAACTGTAATTTAATTTCTTTAATAACTATAGTGCTACTCAGATTATCTCTTCCTTTTTTTAACCCACTCAGGTTACCCATTCTTGAATGAGCTTGATAGTTGGTGTCAAGGAATTTTTCCATTTCATTTAAGTTGTTGAAGTTATTGACAGAAAGTTGTTCATAAAATTTCCTTGTTATCCATTTAACGGCAGCAGGACCTGTAGCGGTGTTCTCTCTTTCATTCCTTATATTGGTTATTTTTATCTCTTTTATTCTTGATTGGTCTAGCCAGAGGTTTATTAATTTTATTGGTTTGGTTTTTAACATGATCATTCTAGCTGTTATGTTGAAGGCAGACGAGAACAGAGGCAGACCAGTCGGAAGCTACTGTAACAATCTAGTCAAGACCCAAGAGAGAGTGGCTTGGACCAGGAGCTGGCGGTGGGAGAGGACAAAGAAGTGACCATATTCTGGTATATTATGAAGGTGGAGTCAAGAGATATGACAAGAGATCATATATGGATCAAAACTGGGAAAAGGATTAAAAAAAAAAAAAAAGAAAGAGGAGGTAAGAATGACTCCAGAGGTTTTTGTCTTGAGTGACTAACTGGAAGAACAGAGTTTCCACTGATGGAGACGGGAAAGACCATGGGGAATACGTGGCGATCAACTTTGGGCAAGTGAACTTTGGAATGCTTACTGGGCCTCCAAGTGGAGACAGTAAAAATTCACATGAGAATGCAGAATGCAGGTCTGGAGTTCAGGAGGCCTGCACTAAAAACACAAAGTTGGAAGTCCCAGTATTTACAGCCATGAAAATAGGTGGAATGACAAACGTGGCAAAGAGAACAGTCTGAGGGGCACAGTGACATTCAGAGGGTGGGAGACATGAGAAAACACAACAGGAAACATCAAAGGGATTCAAAAAGAAGGACATGACAACTGAGGAAAGGCTGAGCTGTGGATAGGTAAGATAAGGACCGAGCACACAGAGGTCGCTGAACAGCTTAGCAAGAGCGGCTCCAGCAGCGTTGCAGTGGAAACCCACCTGCAGACCAAACAAGAGAGACCAGACAGACAATACAGACCAGTCTCTCAAGGAGTTGGTTGTGAGGAGGGGAAGAATAAACATAGGGAAGCCAATGGAGGGAGAAGAAAACCTTTTAAAGATGGGAGCGATCATAGCTTGTTTATATGTTGATACGAAGAATTCAACAGGGAGGAAAAAATTGACAGGGCAAGAAGCAGGGTGCAGAATTTCTAGCATGACATCTTTGGGTAGATGATGAGAACGGGACCTAGAGTGCAAGGGGGGGCAGGGTACGGGACTGGCCTTGACTCATCCACTACAAACGAAATGGCTGAGCTCAAGGGCACGAGTGCAGCCAGGAGGGTGGTGTGGGGGCAGGGACAGTGCAGATCCCCTCTGGTGGCTCTAATTTTTCTAATTTTCACAGGAGGGTGAAGGTGGAAAGGATACACTGGAGGTTTATTCTCTCCTAGATTTGGCACAGGCTATGCAGTCCTGTCAGTTAGCTCAGGAGAGGACCTGACAGGGCCCGCGGTCACTACGGGGAGTGGACAGAAGGCACACAGACGCTGCACCCTGGAAGGATGCTACCTCATGTTCTGTCACCACATGCTCTAGCTCTGGGTAACCTGGACAGGTCATTTAACCTGCACCTCAGCTCCCGCACATGAAAATGGGATCATTACAATGCTCAGAGGCAGGGCGGTTATCAGGGGATAAGGTCGGTGCCCAACAGAGGCGCCATGGGCAGCTGTCCTTGGTCGCCTCCAGACAAGCCTCCTCACCCCCCGTCCCTGCACACCCACCTGGGGGTGGCTCTGGAGTGAGACTGCCCGGTCCTGGCTTGGTGCCCTCCCCAGATGCTGCCTTGCTCACCTGGAGCCAGCTTGATCTCCAGTGCAGTCCGAATGAGGGCCATCAGCGTGGATGTGAAGTGGACAGTCATGTCCTCATTGGAGATGGGCATGTTCATGCGGACCAGGCGCTAGGGACAAGGGGAGCAGGTCAGGGCCAGGCCTACCAGGGTCCCTCCACCACAGGACTACAAGGTGCTGGAGGCCCCTAGAGGCTGGGCTTCGCCTCCTGGGGGTGGCTTCTGCAGGTGCCCAGGCAAAGTTGGGTGGCTGGGAGTTTTGCCAGCATTCACACTCACCCTTGGACCGCCCCCCCCCGCCCCCCCGCCCCACTGGAGCTGAGTCTTCTCCTAGCTGTGGAGAAACAGAAATCCAGGTAAAGACTGTAGCACAGCACCAAGCCAGAAGCCTGGATCCCTCTGAAAGAACAGGCACATGCTTAGCCAGAAGGACCCCTGCCCAAGGCTGGAATAAGGGGCGTGGGCCCTGGGCTGAAGAGGGAGGGATCTGGGCTGCAGAACTGAGGCTGGGGCACCCTGGGATGGCCCACAGACAGGAGGGAAGACCCCTGTCCTTACAGCTCTGCCCAATGTCATCTCCTCCACCGGCAGCCTGGAGCACTGGACAAGGGGCGGGTCAGCCAAGAGCACAGCTCTGAGCCCCAGCTCCCAGTGAGGCATCCCCTCACCCCAGGAAGGCTTCTGCCTCTCACCACCCAGCCAGGGGGCCTGGCAGAGGCGGCCAGCACCTTCCAGTCAGAAGGACCCAAACAGATGGCACGGCACAGGGCCAGCGTGAAGGCTGCTAGGGAGAGGCTCAGGGCCATCGCACAGGAGTAAAAGTACTCCGGACCAGACTGGGGGCAGTGCCCTGCTGCTTTGCTCCCTGTTTCCCCATCAGGTGAAGAGCCCCTTTCCTCTCCTCGTTTTTCAAGGACAGAACAGCGGGAGACAGATGTGTGTCTGTAACAGACCTCCGGGTATAGGCAGCAGCTGCCCAGAGCCTGAGGCTCTGAGAACTTAGGTGATGTCCAGGAAGAAAAGTATCCTTGGTGTGTCTGGAACGGTCTCAGCATGGGGGGTCACCTAGCTGACCAGGTAGAGCCCTAGGGGCACCGTGACCCACCTGTCTTCTCCCAGCAGTCTCTTGACATCTACCATAAGACAGAGCTAGAGATGGGGGCACCGGGCCCCTCCCCGGGTTGTGCCTGTCCTCTGCCAAGCCCACATCCCATGACAGAGCAGCCTCTCTTCCCCTCTAGGGAGGGCCCCCAGCCCTGCCCCCAGTGTCTGGGCCCTAAATCCAATCCTCGGCCTAGTAGAGATTGGGTGGCTAAAGACACGAGCCCAGACTCTGCCCCCCTGAATGCTGGCAAAGCCCCACCTGGCACATCCAATCGTGGTCCCAGGACCTCACACATCACCTTTGTGATGCACACCAGGAAAATCGGCTTTCCAGAGCACAGTGTCCCTGTAGACCAGCACCGATGGCAGTAAGAGAGGCAGAGGGATTCCTCTCCAGGGAAGTCAGGGAGTCGGGTACCAGCGTGAAGGAGGAGCAAGCAGGTGATTTCCAAGAGAAGAGAGCTCTGTCCAGGGCACCTTCACCAGAGGCTCTCCTCTGCCTGTCCAGGCCCTAGAAGGGCGGGGATCTCAGGAAGCGGCAGAAGGACAAGGCCAGGGTAAACAGACAGGCATCTCTGCCCTGGGCCTAGACCCTCCTGGTCATAGCACTCTGAGCATCTCCTGGACCCTCCCCAGCTCCCCAAGCCCATCCATTCCTACCCACCCTGAGGCCTCCCCTGGTCTATTCATGACCAGAACCTTGGAACTGGCCAGCACAGCTGGGGAGGGGCCCTAAAGGCTAGCCCATCAGAGCCCAGCATGCCCAGCCTGGCCCCAGGTATCAGTGTGGACAGAACTCTCCTTCTTGGGAACAAAGCTACAGTCTTGCAACATGCATGCCAGGCAGGGGAGGGCTGAGGAAGATGGCAGAGGCCTCTGCCGGTGGCTTGAAGGAGCCACTTAGCTTCCAGAGGCTGTGCTGAGCCAGGTGACAGAGGCAGGCCCAACTCGAGCACAGAGACAGACATCGTGGACAGAACCAGAGAAAGCTCTGCTGGGAAGCTCGCTCAGAGAGAGGGCGGTGGCAGAGAGGCTCCAGACACATGCTGGTTGAGCCGCAGAACTCGGGCTGGCTCTGTTTTCTGGGAGCAATGGGAGCTGCAGGAGGGCTCTCGGTGCGGGGCGACGGGTGGCGGGTGGTGCTGGAGGGATGGAAGGTGCCTACACACCAAAGGGCACATGGGGCAGGTGGGAGCAGGCTTGGGGCTGGGCCATGTGACCTGCTTGCCCCCCAAGGAGGGAGGCCTGGAGATGTCCTTCAGTTTACCCCCTCCTTGCCGCTCAGCCTCCTGGGCTCCTCAGCGATGGAGGGAGGAGGCATGGGACTACCTGTCCTTACCCTGCAGCAGTCTCTGAAGCCCCAGGAATGACAGCAGAACGCCTCTCCCTGGCATCCTTTCCTTCTTAATGCCACAGTGCCTCCTTCCCGCTGTGGAACTTACAAAGCCCTGGGGATGCTGCCTCCCCAGGCTGACGCAGCCCAGACCTGGGGAAGTTCTGCATGTGCGGAGCTGGGTGTGGGTTCCTCAGAAGTGCCAGAGGCCCTGCAGGCCCCTATTACCCCAGGCTCAGACCCAAAGGGCTGGATAACTCCACCTTCATCGGGTGCTTATGGGACAGAGAAGCTGAGTGCGGTCCTGAGCCCAGAACAAAAACAGCTTCTGTCAAAAAGGTGGTCTGTCCCCTCATTTCCAGGAAAGAGAAGGAAAGGAAAAAAGGCAGGTGGAGGGCTCCGGCTCCGTCTTCCTGAGCCTCTCAGGGGCTCTCAGAGGGGGCAGACCTGCGGGCACAAGGGGCGGGTGCAGACACCATCATGGTATCTGTGTCCCTCTGTCTGGGAAGGTAGAGGACATGGTTGGAGCAGAGAAAAGGAAGAAACAGTGAGACAGCAGAGCGGCAGACAGACAGACAGACGGACAAGCCCCGAGAGGAGACGGGAGACCAGCCCCAGCACAGCCAGCCTCGGGGTGCAGGGTCGGGGTCTACCTTGTATGCTACTCGAGCAGGGCATTTCTTCCCCAGCCCCAGGGGTGGGGACATGTGTTTCAGCATCTCAAACATGTCATTGTAACTGATGCGCCCACTGGAGACCCGGCCCAGAGAGGCAGAGGCAGGGTGGGGTCCACAGGAAGGGGTGCGGCAGGAGGGGGGCGGGGGGAGGAAGCAGACAAGAAAACAGATCCAGTTAACCAGCGTCAGATTACATGCCAAAAGTCAAAATACGTAAAATGAGGGACTTTTCTGCTTGACTCAATCCCCTCCTTGCCCCTCCCAGCCTCACCTCCACACTCCAGCCCCACGCAGGGCAGCGGGCAGGGGTGACATCTGAGCTAATGAACATGGAGGGATGAGGAAGGGCTGCATCGGGGCGGCTTTGGGTTGTCAACTTCTGATTTTACACTTTTAGAAAACCACAGATAATGCCAAATCAGAAAAGAGCTGTTTCACCATGCCGGGAGAGCCGGCAGACAGAATTATGTGACCGATGAGGCCGGCCTGAGAACCACGGCAGAAACATAGCTTTCCTTAATGCTCAATTTGCTTCCAAGTTAGCCTAGAGGCTAAAGAAGTGGAGAAAACTCTAAAACAAGCCAGAAAACTAGAGCTGGGGGAGCCCCGAGGCTCTAGAGACAAACTTGACGGGTGAGTCCTGCTCCAAGCCCAGAGACGCCCGAGGCCGCCCAGGGCAGGGCTGCTGCTGGGAGTCAGGGCTGGGCAGGAAATGGGAGACCGCGGGGGAGGGGGAGGGGGAGAGGAAGCGAGCGAGGACAATCAGACCTAAAAGGCTGGGGCAGACCTCGGGATACCGTGGGGGCCGCGCGTCGCGGGCAGGAGCTGCCGGGGACCGCGTCCGGGCATTCATCGGGCCCTCGGCGCGGGAGGTGCTGCCCGGCCCTCTCGGGCCGCGGGCTCCTCCGCTCCGCAGCCGGGCCTGGGACTCGGGATTCGGCTGCCCGCTGCCGCGCCGC